GGTCGGGGGGGGGGGGGGGGGGGGTAAATGCGGGTTGTCTTCATTTCAAGGATGTTATATATCAGGTGAAGGACATTGAGTGAAAGTTTGGGTCTCTAGTAACCCACAGAGGGACCTTTATCAGAAGCGTAAAATAATGTTTCATTGCAAATTAACATGTCGATTCCACCCAGTGTTATTGTTAATTTGTGTGTTTAATGATTGATTTCTTAAAATGTACTCCTAAGGTCACATATAGCCACCTTGATCTTCTCATACAGCTTCTAGGAAAACATTTCAGAGGAGTATTCCAGTGTTTGGTGAGGGATATCACGTAGGTTTAGAAGCTAAGGACTTATTTAGAGCCAAATTTGTATCTCTGCATGGCTGGATCATTGTGTAGAAGACAGGGGGGTTTTGCCCAGCTCTTGTAGTGTGTGACACTGAAATTCATACTACACCTCAATTTCCCACTTGTTAGAAAGGACAATAGTGCTCCTCCTTTTTAAAGCTCGTGAGATCCCCTGATAACATCTTAGTTATCTGTCAGGGGCTGCAAATGAAGTTACCCTCAGAAATTGTGAATTCCATTGCAAATAAAGTTTGAATATATTATGCAAAAATATGGGGTTTTTTTCTTTCATACTTTGTATATTTTATTTTATTATATAGCTCAATGAGAACTGAAAAATACCTGTAGAGTGCTATTTAGAAACTGTCACATAAGATTCAACTATTTTGATACAAAATAACTTCCTTCAGAGGCTACTTCAGTTCATTAAGGAGCATTTATAGTAATTTTTCAGAGTTGTCATTTAAGAAAGTTGTATGCTGTCATCCTCTGCATGGTCCAAATATTAACTTACATTGAGAATTAAAAATTTTGAGCATAAAGTGGCCAATGTTTCATAATTGGTAGCTACTTTGCAATTAATTTCATTAATGCTTTAAAGTGGCTCTTAAATGATTCACTGCCTGTTGTGACTGAATTCCTTGAAAAGCCTTGTGAAAGAGTTTACAAATCACTTAAAATAAGTCAGCAGTGTCACTCCTGGAAGATGTGTTTTTCAAATGCTTCATAGGAAATTGGTATCTGAAAACTGGAGTTGGGAAACAGCCTTAACTAAAGGCTTAGCCAACAGCTAGTAAACAGTGCTAGTCGGAGCATTCCTATTTGTGAAACACTGAGGTGGAAAACACTACACATGTATGTTTTGAAATTATTCCTATGTTTATAGTAGTTACTCCTGTTACACAACTGAAACAAGCACTGTTAGCAAAGCATCTGCATTTTTTCAATCTTTCAACGTAACAACCCAGATTTAGTCCATTATGGAAAAAGTAAAACCGGCTGTTAAATGTGAGCATGAAGTTAATGAATAATCTAGGCTGTGCCTTGTTTTTGAGGCTCATTATAATATATTATTCACAAAGAAAACTGAAGATAGTGTGCATTCACTGACCATATTAAGTGGCCACATGGTTCCAGTAACATGCTGCGGAGCAGTACTCATGAAAGTGTTGCTGTCGATCTTGCTGTATAATGGAATTTTTGTATCTGCTTTGTCTTCAGCAGCCAAAATTGCTGCTGTGGGTACTGTCTATGCATGTGAGGTATGTAAGATCGAGCAAAACCAGGAAGGATTATCTGATCTGTACCCAGAGATGATGCCTGAATCCTAGAGAACACAATAAGGTTATTTTGTATGATTTAGATTATCTAGAGTAGTATAGAACCAGGCCAGCAGTGTCCCTGCTCATCCCAATTTCCTAATTATAACAGTATTTGTTATTGTTTACTCTAGGAATGACTATACCAGAAGAAGATGCTGATGTGGGACAAGGTAGTAAATATTGCCTGGTGGCAATAGGAAGACTTCAGGTAATGCCAGTCTTTCCTTATACAAACTGCTTCCAAAAGCATAATCACTGTTATGGTTTACTCGTAAAGGATTTGCACAAAGTTCTGGTACTAGACTGTGACTTGTAACATGCCTGCAAAACATAAAGTGCCTTGATGTCTGTGTGCAGCCAGTGACTTGCTTAGAAGATGTCAACAGAGCAAAATGAAAATGCGATTTTGGTGCATATGTGTACTTAATCCAATAACAGCAGCAAAGATGCTGCTGGAAGATGAGCACGTACAGACCTGACATTCTCCAGGGTGTGTAGGGCTGGGATGTTGTAGATAGTGAGAAACGTGGGAGTACAGGTGCTGCAGATGGTAGGGTAAAGTGGCTCCCAAAGCCAGTGATATGTCCTGCTATTCTTTCATTTGTTCTCTCACCCTGGCTAATCAACTGCTTGAAAAACTGTGATTGCAGGAGTTATTCTGAAAATGGTACCGATAAGGTAGTCAAGAGGCACTTCACAAATAATAGCTTTATTCTCAGTATGTATTGTATTGTGCATTCGGGTATGATGTCAGCCGAGGGAACTGTGAGAATAAAATTTTACTTCATTTTTGTCCAGACAGTTGCAATCGATGTATTAAATTTTCTTCTTTGTACCTTGCTGACGAGAGTTCTGAGCAGGAGCTAGAGCATTGACGGTGAATCTCCTTCACCACAGCAGGGAGGCTAATTTTTATCTTCCTGGTCTGGGAATTTTGCCATGGGTGAACATGTTTGAGCCTCTTGCATGATCTCCTCTTGGCCTCCACTCATTGCCATCTGCTAGGATGGCATCACTCCTTCTGACAAGGTAGAATGACCCTTTCATTTAGAGCACAGCTGCCACACCCCTCATAGCTGAGGTGAACAGCCTGCATATTACTGCAAGTGTTCGCACTTCTGCAGAGTGTGTCTCCATTGCGATGGCAGAGCTACAAAAGTATTGCATGATGTTTTTTAGGTTAATCACGCTTTTATAATCAAGGGTAATATATTCCACTAATGGAGAGAAGGAAATTATGGGGATTGATATGTTACAGCTGCCAAAGATGATTTCTGAGAAAATCACATTAGTAACATGTGGAGTATCAAAACATCTGTTACATTAGAAAAGCCAGCAGGGTGTGTGAGGGAAGGCAAGAGGAGGCTCTGTGGATGGGTTTCATCACAGAGGAGTAAAGGTGCTCAAATTAAAAACTCTGTTCTGTAACAGCAAATTGAGATCTTGCGTACAGTTAACTGGCTGATCTGCGGAAAAAAAAAAAAGATATTTTTGCTCTTTTGGTATTGGGACCTTGTTAACAGAGATTGCTCTGGAAGTTGTAAGAAAAACAGTGGTCTCTCATTTGTAGCTCCAGTAGGAATGAATGGATATGAAGTGGCCTGATTGCACAGATTTCAGGTGGAGAGCTGGAAATGCATCATTCTTTCTGATGAGACTTGAGGAGGATTTATAGGAGGACTGTGTTTTTTCATTATGACCAGCCACTTGCTGGCCTAATATCACCTACCTCAACCTCTGGAGAACTTTGTTAAGGTTCTCTGGGTGTTTTAGGTGAGGTTCATCTCACCTCAAAGTTGAGTATTTAGTCTGAGCAGTCCTATTGGATACGTCTACAGATAATGAGTTGGCCTCTTCTAGAGATTGACCTTCCTGTCCTAAAATGAGTGGACTGAATTTTCCTCTGCAAGTCTCTCATTCTTGGTTGACAAAGGTAGGAACCAAGATGCCTAACTTTAATGTGGTGCCACAAAGTGAGATGAATCCAGCTGTACTTACATCCTTCCTATATCCTTCCTTCTTGGAAACTTCCGATGTATTTGTTTTCCTGCTGTGCTGTTAAGCCTCGGTGGGTGCCATGGGGTGAGATATTTGCCCTGCAAACTAGACTAAAGGCTGTTCTTTGTCATTTAGCTGTGCTGTTTTATTTATGACTTCCTTCAGTAGTTAGCAGTCTGCCAACAGATTTTGTTCTTTAGCTGTGTAATCAAATTTGACTTAAGGTGACTGTTTTGTGGACTAAATACAGTGAACTTCGTTGGTCCTAGGTAACCAGCTCTCCAGTGTGCATGGACATGAATGGCATGTCAGTCCCCACTGAGTTCTTGTCTAGGCACAATTCCGATGGAGTCATCACCTTCGTTGACCCAAGGTGCATCAGTGTCATTGGTTACCAGCCCCAGGTCAGTGAGTAAAGGAAGTGTGGAGACTGGTTAGAGCTAATGAAGAAAATTCTGTTTGCACATTAAAAACAAAAGCAGCAAACCATGAAATATTTGTAGCTGCTAATTCATATGTCCTGCATTAAATGCTGTTCACTTTTCTTTGCTGTCCACTATAAAATTTACAGTTTTCTGCTTTTTTATGTGGAGTATTTTTTTATACCTTTTAGATCCAATTAGAATTGTAACAGCAAGATGCTTTAAACCTTGCACAGCTTTCCAATGAAGACATTTCTGTGATAAAAAGTTAATAGTGCTTGGACAGAGTTTTAGTCCTGTAGATCTTTACTTCTGCCAATCTATTGAACAGTAAGCAAACATCGTTTATGGCATCTATTTTCCTTTAGGCTTACATCTACTCCTCTGAATAGGAGGCTAGTTACAGAACTGAGTAGAATAGTAAATGAACTCCTGACTACCACAACTCTCGCTCGGATAACTCTCAACAATTGCACTTTAGAGGCAAAAGTAATTTCTTGCTCATTTGTTTTTCCCATTTATTTTGATTTTAGGTAGCTTTATAATAACTGTTTTTACAAAAATTAGTGCTATAAAATGAGCTGTGGTAGAGGAAGTCAGTTTCTTCAAGACACCATTTCACAGGTATTTTTTAAAAAATCACTTAAAAATGCATATATCTGTGCAACAGTACAAATATTATGTGGGACATGGTGCCTACAAACCTTGTTTGTATGATTCATCCCCAATTAACTGAGTAGTCACATTAAGGGTGATAGATCTAGTGTCTGCAAGGATTATTTGCAGATCTGCACGTGGATTTGTGTTGTGGTTTGGGTTTTTTACACAACTTTATGTTTTATTCTAGGATCTTCTGGGGAAAGATATTTTAGAATTCTGCCATCCTGAAGATCAAAGCCATTTGAGGGAGAGTTTCCAACAGGTGCTGCATCCTGCTCCTTTTCTTCCACAATTGATTTATTTATTTTTGTTACTATTCTTTTCAGGGAAGTAGCTTTTATTTTACATTTCAATGTATTTTTTCTGTTAAGCAGGAGAAGGAGTGGCAAGATACAAAACAATTTGTTGATCAGTTAGTAATCAGTTAAGCTGCATAAATGGTAGTTTAAACTGCAGCATGTGTTGGCTGTATTTTCAAAAATAAGTCACCTAGTCATACATTCTGTTTTCTTTTTATAAAAAATTAAATGAACATTCACTGCACAATTAGAGTTCTTTTGGAGATGCCTGTATAGATCCCACTATGTTAAGTGGTAACCAAAAGTATTTACCTTCCAAAATGGGCTGTTGATTTGAAAGTACTTACACCCCTCTGTGATGCTGGATTGTTTGTCACCTAAATTGTCTGCTAGCATAGATGACATGCTTCATATACATTAATGAAGTTACACCACTTTACATCAACAGAGAATTTAGCCCTTTTCCCTATTAGGAATTGAAATGCAGAGAGAAGTAACAAGAGAAATACAACATATGGAAAGAGTTACTGATTTGGATTCGTTTTTGCAGTGGGCCACGTTTACATCAGCTTTATCAAAGGCATTTATTCCATTGTAGAGCTTACTGTTTCAAATTGGTCTGGGACATACAGTGGGAGTGTTTTCCTCAAGCTTTCTGCTTGTTGCTGGTCTTTTCAGTGCCTTCCCTGCCACACTAGAAAGTGCAGCATAGTATGTTTAACTGATTACTGACATTCAGTTGATCTAAGTGGGTTCAGATTTTCTGACAACAGCCTATAGCTCAACCAAGTTTTGTTGATCCATCTTGTGTTGGATGCTGAGATTGCCGAGATGTATTTTCAGCTGTGAAACGTGGATAGGACTTTTAAAATAATTCATACAGCCAACTATTTATTCAGGTATGGCATGCAAAAACAGAGCTTGAAAACCCTCTCTGGGGAAAACAAGTAAATGCTGTTCTGTGTCCATAGAATGGATTGTGAAACTGAGGTTGTGGTCTCTACAGAAGGAGGTTACGGTCTCTACAGAAGTGTTTGAGATAGTGTAAGATACCAGTATCTCCTCCCACTGCTGAGCTAACGAAGAGGACTGGGTGAGCATTCTGCAGTGTCCCTTGAACGGACTGAGTTCAAACAGCAGCTAAAGATTTTTTAAATTCAAGATGTTGATTCGCAGGCAGGAGCCTGTAACAGTTACATGCTTGAAATAGGTCTTCTCTGCCCCACCTTGGTTGGGGGTGTGATGCTGCAGCTGAACCTACCTGAACCTACCTGATGGATAGCTGTCACCAGGAGTTAGGTCCTACTCCCTCTCTTCTCTTTTCCCTGACCTCCTCCCCACCCTTCCAACTGTCCTGATACTAGCACAGATGGACTTGCCAGGTAGGCTTGCTAGGGGACTGATTGCTTTTGCATTGGGGTAGCTTTCACCTGGTTCAGCTCCCTGAACTTGTGCCTGATCGCATCAGTGGTGCAAGAAGAGCAGTGAGAATGCATATGCTGTTGTTCACTAATGCCCAAATGATTGATTCCACTTAATTTATCCAAGAGACAATGACAGAAAGCTGCTGGATAATACACGTCAAACATCCATCTCCGAAGTGATTGCCTTGGGCTCTTGAAGGGCTGACTGACTAACATTCAAGTTAATGACTTGGTCCTCACTGTGTTTGCTGAGAGTGGGATCAGGCTGCGGGAGGCTGCCAGTGTATCCCTGACCTCAGTTGCTGGGGACTTCACTGTCACTACTCACTGTTAGGCATGTGCATAAATGATTTGCTGGTTCAGAGACCTACATGATTTGCTTAAGGTCATACAAAAAGACAGCAGCAAAAAAATGCAGATAATAAGTGAAAGTTCCTGTTCACTCGACCTGTGTCCAATCTATGAAAATATTGTGCTGTTCCTTTAGTAGACAATTCCTTTTTCAGTGTATTTTTGTTCAGTACAGTAGCAGTGTGATTGGGGCTGTTATTTCAATCATGCAATAAAAGACTGAAGTAAACAGTGAAGCTATGCACCAGGTGGTTTTTATTTCCAAAGAATGTAAGAAAGTAAAGGTTAAACATTAGCTTAGAAATTTTTTGTGCTGTCTTGTTTGTGTGCACTGTTTTAAGACAGTTCAGGATTTTCCCACCAGTGATCTCTATGCTTTATATATTATTACAGAACTAGTGTTTGCTTAATTCAGACTTCAGGACAATAGATCACTGCAGTTTGTTTTATTATTGTTTGGCCTTAGAAATCTCTTCATTAAAAAGGTAACTGTGATTTCCAATAAACTCTTTTTTTTCTAAAAGCCTCTTGAAAACTTGACATTTCTAATTTGCTGACAGTATCAGAACCAGGTTAGTGCATAACAGGGGAGGGAGGGAGGGGTTTGCAGGTTTTGGTCCGTTGCCAGTATCCATCTCAAAGCTTTTACTTCCTTGGGAAGATAATTTCATTCATCGGGGTGGGAAAATCAGGACAGAATAAGATAGTCTCAAAGCCAAGATCAACAAATAGAGTTTAGTATCAAAGGATCCAGAATACAGCTATTGGATATCCAGTAGGATGCTATTCAGATTGGACACTTTTACACAAGCTCTGTGTTTTTTACGCTGGGTGTGGTAGTAGAAAATTGCTGATAAAAGAATGTTGCTCACTGAACTGAAATTACAAAAGCATTTGAAAAGAAAAAAAAAAAAAGGCATTTACCTCAATATTATTTTGAACTTTCCTGGGCATTTCTAAAGCTTTTGTGTCTTCTATGTGCATTTTTTCCATTTAATCCTGTATCCAGTTGATCAATTTGAAATGCAGACCTTTGGAAAAACAGGATTGGAGCATTTTTCTTAATCTAATTGTTTGTCAATGAAGATAAGGAGTAAATACTGGGATTTCTACTTTTAGAGAATACAGGCTGCAGATAGCTAATAAAAAATAAATTGCAGTGGATAAGGATTAAGAATCCAGAATGAGATGCAGCATTTATTTGCAGTAGACCTTCCCTTTCCTTCCCTGAAGCACTCCTGAGATAGCTTGTTGGAAGAGCAATAAAAAATAAACACAGATAGCCCAGGTAAGTGCCAGCTGAATGACTTGAAACCATATAAGTTTTCTTCTAACTTAAACCACGTTTGTTAGATAACACATAAAATGCAGTTACAGTGCCAGTGTGCAAGTATTGGTTTGAGTGTACTTCTTTAGCTAGCTGTTTCTTAATTCTCACTTAACTATTGACTTCAACAAAACTTCAGCTACCAAAACCAGAATTTGAACTGAGTGTTGCCAAACATCTGAATTCTTAGTTATAAACAAATAGGCTGTCCCAGCAAAGAATTTGCTCTCCATTTTTGTTAATACTATTAAAATGTACAGTGGCTTATTGGTGTTCTCTCCATTCAAACACTGGCTCGCTCTTTCTTCTTTTGAAAGTCAGAAGCAAGTGTTTCTTGTTAGTACTTTGCCATCCTAGGGAGTCTTATAATGTGTTTGGGGGAAAAGGAAAAAAAAAAAACCCAACCATGTATGGTTTCTGAAAAAAAACAACCATTGTGTTTAAGTATTATTGTAAATTTTGATGCTGATGTGTGATTTGGTATAGCGCATATATGAATTTTATAGCTAGATATGCAAGCAGAAAAGCAGATAAACATTTTTTCTTGTGGGCTTTTGTTTCAGCTGCAAAGTTTGGTTTAGAGTTTACATATACACATTTAAAAGACCTTCAGTTTGGTTTCTGTCAATCTCTCGATAAGCATTCCACATTAAAACTTTCTTAAAGATTCCCTGTTGGTCTAAGAGCACAACCTGTTGCTTGTCCTGAATCTGTATTCTTCTTATATGCAAGCTGCAAAATGGCATTTTATACAACAAAGCGTGAGGGTTTCGTTCTGAAGCAAATAGCTGCAAACATGAATCAGATTTTGCTTATTCTCTTCAAATTAAGAATCTCCCTGGTGTGTCCATAGCTTTCTGCAATTTAAGTTTAAAACACACCAGTTACTGTGGTTTACTATTCATTTGCACAGCAGGTAGCAATCTCCTTTTATTAACCTTTCCAAATGGTTTTGCAGGTTGTGAAACTGAAAGGTCAAGTCCTGTCTGTGATGTATCGTTTTCGTACCAAAAACCGGGAATGGATGCTGATCAGAACCAGCAGCTTCACATTTCAGAATCCTTATTCCGATGAGATTGAATACATCATCTGCACCAACACTAATGTAAAGTATGTGCCTTTCCAGCTTCTTGCGTATATGGTTTTGAAAGAATTCCATTGCTTTTTGCTGTAAAGCACATTTTTATTTTTTTGGTAGCCTGTTTCTAGCTACATTTGTTTCTCTATAACAGTACAGTCTGTAACAGGGTTTTTCTGCATCATGAGATCTCACAGTGTAGCTGTTTCTCAGTCATTATCCTGTGATGCTCCCAGGGCCTGACTGCACTTGGGGAGTAACGTCACTTATCTGTTATGTCATTAGACAAACTCATTGATCTCAGTCCAGGCTGCCTTAAACTAGCACAGAGATTCCAGCAGCAGACCAGCTGTCGTGATATTGGAGGAAGGGTAGCCTGATTCCTAAGCCAAAGAGAAAATTGTATGTCCGTGTTCATTGTGATCATACCATTCCGTGGTCCTGGGCATTTGCACCTTGAGCTGTGCCTACTCTTACTGCCTATGAAAGCTGGCAAAATTATTTCTTAGTAGACTTGAGTGGAAAGGGTTCCTGATACTCGGTTAAGATCTGGTGGAATATCCCCAAGTATGGGGACAGATCCAGCCCCTTAGCTTAAGAGGGAAATTAAATCATCCTGTATTTGAGTTAATATTTTCAAAAATCTGTCATTGGACCTCTTAGGAGAAGGTCATCCTAGGAGTATAGTGGAGGTTCATCATTGTGTAACTGAGCAGAGATGCTTTTGGAGCTTCCTGAATTCTGAGCCAGTAAGTGCAGAAGCTAACCTGGCCTTGATAAAGCCGTTGCTTTATAGTGTGGAGTTTTTTAAATAAATATTTCTTCTTTCCAATATAAACTTCATCTATTTCTAAGACAAAATCTGCTTCTGGTCTGACCAAAGATTTTTTTGCCAAGTTTGTAGGTCAGAGGAAATTAACTGGTTTTAAGATCTCAACCTGTTAGACTGTATAATGGAAATGCTGAATGAGCAGTCTACTAGTGGAGATGCATGCTGAGAGCTCCACTTGCAAAACCAGACCCCTGGGGCTTTGGCATTTGAACTTAGAAAGCTAGTGTGTGTCTCTGAGTGTTCCTTGTCTTGTTCCTTTGGACACATACCTGGACTAGAAGGGCTCTGCTTTCACTCACTTGAAACCCAACATCACAATGGTTTTGCTGGTTTTTCTGCATACCCAAAAAGTCGGGCTTAAACAACTGAATAGTTAGGCTCATTGAAAACAAACAAATGTGTCTTGAAATCAGACAGCTAAATATCTCCCTGTCTGCACTGTGCATCAAAATAGGTATTTCCACATTTCTTCTGTCCCATATTTCTTTTCCAAATAATTTGTATATGCAAAAATAAAAAGCAACTTCTGAAATCTGTCCCAGGCTGGCTTAATTGTGCTTTGTTCCCAGGAGTCCACAGATCAAAAAGTGGGGCTGTAGGCTTGTGTTGACTCTGGGAATGTTTTTTTCCAAGCCTCCACTGCACTGTTCAGCTTGGCATCGCAGCACTTACTGTGATGAATAGGACTGTGCCAGCTTCTGGCTCTTGTTATATCTCTTTTGCTAGGTTTGAATAACAACCAGAAATGTTGACCTAATATGGAAGCTGCCTGCTGCTACTTTGACAGAGGATGTTCCCTCTTTCCTGTCATGCTGAAAATGTTCTAGTCTTATGGCAAGATACAGCCCATTATACGTCTGCTTTTGAATAGCAGAAAGAATGCATTATTCAAACTGTTTTCTGTTTCCCCCTCCCTGTTCTCTCCCCCTTCTCGGATTTTCCAAAGAGGACTTACTGTAATGTACTGCTGTTCCTGCCTGCTTCTGGATTTATTTTTTTTTTTTTTTGCTATTTGGGGTCATGTTTTGACTTCTGATTTCCTAGATGCCTTGGGGAGTTGTACATCATAGTAACTGTTGATTTCCACCTCCTCATTAAGCTCCTGCTGAGACTGGTTGTTGGGCACTGACCCCAGTGTGCGTGGCCATCGTTATGTGTTGGTGGACGTATCAGGTGCTCTGAGTCCAGCAAAGTGCTTCACATGGACACCAAGCAGGGGTGCCTTCCACTGTGCAGTTGTAGACGCTTCTGCACAGAGACAAGTTTTGATTTGTCTATCACTGTGATAAGCTAGCCAGCTCCATAAAATACAGGTTTGAGGCAGTTAAAAATTCAGCATGAAATTGTGAAGACAATGTAGCCAAAAGATGTAGGTTTAAATCAGTTGTAAACTTAGGATAGTTTAAAACCACAGTACTTATGTCTATGGGTGTCTGTCTGTGAACAGAATAGCTCTCAAGTTGGTCAGTGAGCAGCATTTTCCCAGAAGACTGTAGAGGGCAGTGGTGGTTCCAGTTGTGGGGGGATTAATTGATTTTTTGGTGGTGGTTTGTTTTGTTTCTTTTTTCTTTTTTCTTTTTTTTTTTTTTAATAAAGATACTCCTTTGGAGCTTCAAAGAGTCAACTTTCCAAACTTGGTTTTGGTGCGGAAGGATAATGAAACGTTAGGTTCAAATGTTCACTTGCAAAAAATAAAAGAAAACTTCTCTCAGTTTCACTTGGGTGTAGTCATCCAAGAGAAACTTCCTGAAGAAATGAAGCATTTAACATTCAGCATTTGTGCTGTGTTCGGCTGAAAAGAAGAGCCCCCGTTTGACCACATCTTCCTGTGTAGTTGGGACTGTTTGATTTCCAAAAAGAAATAATAATGGTGGTCAACGTTTATTTAACATACAGATAGAGCAGCATTTGAATAAAATAATCTGTTGTGGTGACAGATAAAACTATATAAAAGTCTTTACATATATATATAGAAAAAAGATATTTTTCTGACCTTTATGGAAATTCTGATGTTTCTTTTTTGTAAGCCCCAAAGTCCTATGTTGCACTGCATGCATTTATGAATCCTACAGTTGTCCTGTGTCTCAAGACTTTTTGTCTCTGAGTGAGCTGGCACAGGTCAGTGCTGGAGGAAGCCTGCTGGGTGAATCAGCCCTCACTTGTGGAGAGATGCTCTCTGTTTCAGATTCTCATGGGCCAAAATACTAGAGAGATCAACTATTCTGATAAAATTCCAGTCTATGGTGCTAAAGACTTACTTTCTCATGATCTCCGTGCTGTCTGTGGGCTATCTGATCCCTCAAGGCCAGTGTCAGACAGACCCTTGCACAGGGGTGAATTGAAGCTGTAGGCTAGAAGAGGGAGATTTTGAGAGTTTCTGAAAGAGGATTTTACAACAGCAGCCTCAAGGCTTTTATTACTCCCTTTTTGTCCAAACCAGACACAGGAAGCACGTGTGCCTATATTACCTAAAAATAGCTTGGTAGGGATACAGTAGTATTGTTTCTCTCCCACCATAGAGACCATTAATTTTAAAGTTCAAATCCTTTTTTGCTTACTCTGATGCCTGGAAAAGGAACAGGTGACTTCAGTGTTCATAGAGAGAGATTAATTTGGCTGAAATCCTCTCCAGTGTCAAAGGAACTTTCACAGAATCTTGCCTTTTGCTCCAAATACATTTACTGAAGTGAATTTGAATTAACTATCAAAACCTTCACATTCACTGAACAATTCCTTGTTCAAGCGAAGGGCTTTCCCAGTTTCAGACCAAACCTGTGGGTGAGCCAGGAGTTCCTGCAGTACAGGCAGAGTCCTCTGTTGACCCAGACAATACCTTGCTCACTATGTTGAGTATTCTATAGAGACAGGAAATTTCTCTTTCATTTACTCCTTGAAGCTGTGAAACTGAAATTGAAACCAAGGATAGTTTGGGTTTTGATTTCAAAGTCAGAAGGCAGTTTAATTTTGCCCAAACTGATAATAATCCCTGGTTCTGTATCATCTTTATGAAAACTGTCTAGCACTTGGATGACTGAAGGGACCTGCATGTGTGAACTGTTCAGTCAAGAAGGCTGGTTAGATGGCAGGGTCTGAAGCAACCACAACAGCAGGGCTCAGCTCTCCCTGGTCGGCTGGTCCATGAATTGCTGCAGAGTTTCTTTGAGGTTTCAAGCATCATTTGAACTGTTTATACAGTAGCAGCAAACAACAGCAGAAGATGCTAACCTGGCTTTGCATTTCAGTCTTAATTAAGTGCAACATAGCTTGCACAGAGTTCAGTGAAGATACACTGAAGTATTGGGTTTTTATAGGAAATGGATTTGGGAGGTTGTTCTGAAAGTTCAGTGCTGTTAACACAATGTGGTATTTATATTGTACTGCAGCTTAACGAGTAGTAGAGATGAAAGATAGAGAAGGGTGAAGGAGCACTAAGTTAGAGAAATGCCTACAAAACAAATAACTAGTCAGTATGCTGTTTTGTTTGGCTCATTTATATGTATATGGCTGAATCAAGAAAACATGCTTTATACGGAACAGAAGAGACCTAATGTGCTGTTTATTGACACACGCACCAAGTCGTTGGTAATAAAAACAAATGAAACAGTGTAATTAGCTTTCACGTTAACAACAGGATTTAATGGGTGTTTATTGTCCACAGAGTGGTATTTAGAAAAACTTCCCCATAGATTTGCCATGATTAAATTACCTCCCATAGTTCTGTTGGAAAAGTATGCATTTTGTGCTTGCAAACAAAGAATTTCTTTGCATTCCAGAGGTAATTTTTAGGAATTTTCTGTTGGCTAAAATAATGTGGAAAATCGACACCTCTAATGACCTGGAGGACTGACTTTTTTTGCACGTTACTCATAGGACAAAAGTGATTCTGTGCATTATGTGTTCTTACACCATAAGACTAGCAGAAGGCTTTTGACCATCTACTCCGATCTTCTGTTTGTTGCAGGCCACAGGTTTTTGTCCAGTTTGCCATGGAGCCTAGTAACTGGTCTCTGAGCAAAGTGTCTGCTAGAAAAGGTCAAGGGATGGGAAGAATCTGTTACTTCAGTAGCTTGGTTGAGTGGTCCTTCACATTCCCATCAGTTTGTGTCTAGTTTGTCATTTGACTTTGTAAGTTTGTCTCTTAGTCTGTTGACATTTGAGTCTATGTAATTCAAAATTCAAAAGATGATTTGGCTAAAAATATAAAATTCAAGCCTGTGGTCAAAAATGTATCCTAGTTTCCCAGAGTTTCAAATCCATGATCTTGCTATTTTGCAAAATCTATTACCACCTGTCACATTATAGCGTCTCTCTGGGGGAAAACCCACGTGGTGTGTAATTCCTGTCCGTTAGGTGATTTTTCCCTCAGAAAGAGGCCAGAAGCATACAGAAACTGTGACCACTGTCAAATATCAGTTACAAGTGTCAACCTGCATGTCCTCAGGCCAAAAGTAATCTTGCTAACTGTGACCAAGTGACAGAAAGCAACTGTTAATGGAAGGTGCAGAATATTTAGATAATTTTGCAGCTGCTGAGGCTTTTTGTCGTTATGCAGGCAGTCTCCCTTGAGACGCTGCAATGCCAGCAAGCTCCCAGCTTCACCCTAGAGACTGGTTCAGTGCCCTTCATGGTGTTGCCCCATACCAGAGCAAGGAACTCTGCCTTCGCCGTGGCGGTGGTGCTTTTTCAGACAAAGGCCTTTCCAGCGAAGCTCTCTGTTTTATAGGGAAATCTCAAGCTGTGGTGCCTGACTCTCAGCTGGCCTGTTGGCTGCAAGCTGCTTTCAACACAAAGTTATGCAGTGAAGGTGATGCTGTGGCCATGCTGTTCAGGGCTGTTGCTTCATCAGGCTACAGCCTGGGCACAGTTCAAACCCAGCGCTGTGCTGGTAAGATCATGTGGCTCTCATGCTCTGCCGTCCCAGCACGGCAATGGAACAAAGCTGAGTTTGTCTGTCTGCAAACAATCACACAAACCTGTGCTCAGACAAGGGAGGTTCCTAATGACCCAATGAGGATGTTGTAAGTCCAAACCAGAAAGCTTAAGTTCACATTTCAGTGGTAAAATTCTGGTCTTAATGCATCAGTAGCACTTTTGCCTTTCATTTCAAAAGGATTGGGTTTTATTTCTGATGAACTGTACTGCACAGTGTTTTTTTGTGTAGAAGTTGTTTTGTTACAGTCACTTCAAAACTTCCAATAGCAACAATTAATATAACTGTCTCTGTTGTTTTTTTTAAACTAGGAACTTTGAATTTATGTCCTTTCAGAATTAAAAAAGTGAAGAAATGGATTCACAAGATCATTGTGCTAGATATATTACAACTATATGAAAGATCTGTACAATTTTATAAATAAGCGGTATTTGCAAATGTAGAATGTGAATATGCCTGGCTTACCACCACTTGCATGCTGTCCCTACAGGTCACCTGTCAGTTAATTCTCATTACTTCCAGTGATTTTTTTCTGTTGATACTGGCTAATTGTTGTAGTTAAGTAACAATGCCTGACACTAAACTCAAATCAAGTGCATTTCAAGGATTTGCAGAGTTTTCAACACTAAATTTCTTCATTCTGGCATAGAGCTCCTGATGTTTATTTGCGCTGGCATTTTCTTCTGAAGTATTTTTCTGTTGCTGCTGTACATTTAATTTTTCCTAAATTCATATAATTGGATTAAGACTATTACTTCCAGTGATTTTTTTATCTCATTTAAACAACGGATATTTTTTTGTTCAATTGTGATTAGCATGAAAAGGAGACTTGTGGTTTTTGTGGCGTTTGTCAACACAAATTGATTTTATGTTATGTCTTGATTTTATATAGTAGCACAAGCAATTTCTGGACTTTCACTGCCTTAAAAGCTTTCAAAAATTGAATAGAATCTGGACTTGGATCCTGAGGAGAACAGAACTAAGACGGGCTCAACATGTTGTTCCATTTGGTCTAACGTGCTTCAAACAGCACTTTGATCACTGTTTTCTTATTGCCTGGCATAACTCTGTGTTAATATTACTGGAGGTTTCCTGTTTACTTCAGTAGGATCAGTGAAGAGGTCTGGTATATTCATTGTTAACATGAGGAAGACATTCTTGGTGTCTTAGTAGTGAATTCTTAAATCCTTTATAAGGAGCTTGTATTCCATCCTCCATTACTTACCCACCTGCATTTCTGTGCTATTACAGCAAAACTCTTTATGTGCCCTGTTACATTCCTGTCATGTAAGTTTTCTCAACAAGAAAGCCTTAAAACCAGATGAATCTCATAGGAAAGGACTTAGTAGATCACCTGAGAGCTGTTTCACTCAGAGTATAAAATAGGAGACTGCAGCTGTTCCTTTTTGTATCTTAATTGGTATTTGTAACAAAGTCATTTTGTCACCTTTGCAGACAACTTCAGCAACAGCAAGCGGAACTTGAAGTACATCAGAGAGATGGGCTGTCATCCTATGACTTATCTCAGGTGAAATTTCTCAAGTTTTTGTTTTTGTGCCTCTTACCTTTTAAAACATAAAGCAATGGCAGATTTCAACGAAACTAAAAATACATTGTGACTGTCCCTGAATTCCTTTTTGTCAAATATGATGGAGGAAATTGCTTTCCTCTGTGTATCTCAACAGGTGCCTGTTCCAAGTATACCAGCTAACGTTCATGAGGGTGGAAAGTCCGTGGAAAAGCCTGATGCTATCTTCTCCCAAGAGAGAGATCCTAGATTTGCTGAGATGTTTGCTGGAATAACTGCTTGTAAGTGAATGTCTCTGATGTTTAATTTTTAATACTGTGTTAAGCTTGGTTACATGATGTGGAGCACAGCTTCGAGAGAATGAAGAGAAACTACAACGTGGCAGAGAAATTGCCAAGCAACGTCAGCCTTCAGGACATTTCTTAGAATTTGCCTTTAGTTGATATTTCCCCTAAAGATGAGGAGGAGTAAATTCAAGGAGGGAAAGGCAGCTTTTGTGTCACCAGAGCTACCTATTTTTGATTCTCTTTTCATTTCACAGGGGCACCTTAAGCAGTGTTTGTAGATACTGAAACATGCTGAGCAGAACTTGCCATTTCTGAGTATGTATTTTCTTTCTTAAAGAGCAGATGTGAGTTCATCTCTCTAAATAGACATGGATTAAGAAAGTTACCATGTAATCTGAAGATAGGCCTGCAGTTTTTTATCAAATCGCCAGCTTTTGCATTGATGTTTGCAGAGGCATATGCTGCCTTGAAGTGTAATAATATACTTGTTTTCTGATCAGTTGAGGCATCTCCAGTCACATTACCTGTCGGTAAGTTCTTGCTTTTTTTCCCACAACTTTTGAACTTGTTGGCAAGTTCTTATGAAAGTGATAGGAGCCTCAGAAATAGTATGTTCTTCTATATTTTGTGAAAATTACTGTGATGACAGAGTCCTTACTGAGTGCCCTCACCGAAGGGTTTCCCAGCCCTGTTCTAACAGGTAGCAGCCAGCTTGTCAGTTAGACAGACGTAGCTGACTCAAACTAGCCCCAACCTATGCTGCCTGTTGCCCTAACAGACAGAAGTCATTGAGAAGACTGGCAGCTGAAGGGGTCATCTGAAATGTATCTGTAGGAAACCAGGCTCATCAATTCCACTGCTCATGGAAGAACTCGTTAATTGTTTATTGTTCTTAACTGTCCTCACTGAAAAAGAGAAGTTTTTACATTTGTTTTAAATAAATCAATGCGCAAGTGTCACGCAGCGCATGAAGGAAATGACCCACAGGGTTTGACTCCAGGGGTGTTGGGAGATGACTTCACTGCATTGGTTTCTTATGTCTAGCTTGGCCTTTTCAAATGGAGAAGGCATTGTAATTGCAGGATGGACTTGATATTCTGTCCTGTTGTTAGGACTTCTCTGTTATTGCTGTTCATCCTTGTCTGTCTACTCTAACAGTGAAGTCAACAGCTGAGGCCATAAAAGGGGTCCATTAGAAGGTAGCAAGACTCCAACCCTAAACACCAGAATATGTTTTTCCAAGCAAGAACATCTTGCTTTTTGGCTGCCTTACTGCCTCTTTTTCAGGCAGCTCTCAACTGTTTGTGGGGAGGGGTTAGGGTTAAGGGTCTAGCAAGCTGTGAGGTAGCTGGGAGGTTATGTTCTTGGAAATGCCATTTCTCTTTTCATTCTTACCAATTTACAGGCTATGCTTTTTTTGGGACATTCGCCCTGTCTGAATTTCTCATGGGAGCTGTGATCATGGTCTGCTCTGAATAATAAAAAGAGATGGTTCACAGTTAGAGATGAGATATGCTGTCCAAAACCAATATTGACAAACCTGCATGCTGCCTGCAAGACATTTGCATTATGTTGATACCCAATCTTCTTCTCTGCCACATTCTGTAAAAATACAGGTTTGACATAGGGAGATTGTTGCTGTAATTGCATGCAGTGGCCACACATAATTGAAGAACAGAAGTGAGGAGAGGAAGCCTGGCTTCACTGATTCATGCAAGTGCCTTGAAGCACAGGATGATGTGGTTCTTACAGAGATCTTTGTTCTACAGACAGAAACACTGGTCTTGCTGGGAGAATGGCATATCATTGACCAGTACAGTGATGGAGTTTAGAGAGAAACAGGTCTAAGGATGCAGGTAAAACACCAAAACAAAATAGGTTGTCAGTGCTGTACCAAAGCTGAGAGAAGAGAAGTAGGGCACAAAGTCCTGAGTGGGAATACAGCTGGGAGACACGTAGGCCAGATTCAGAAGCTAAATAGCATTTCATGTAACTCAGGGAAGAGATTTTTAAAGCCGATTTAGCTGCTTGCGATTAGTTTAGCTGTTCCCTTTGTCTTGTCCTCATCCTGCGGCACAGACCATGGTAGCTGCCATGGCAACTCTGCCTCACTTGAGGAATTCCAGTTCATTTAGGGCACTCTCAATTTTGCTGATGAGTTGTTCTCAAGTATCTAAAGTACCCGCAGGATTTTGGCTCAGTCTCTTCCAACCCTCCCTGAGAGTTTGGTATCCCTGTAAAGGGTGGCCTTAGAAGATGGGATATATCATGCAAGAATGACGTTACCATAAAAAAAGGCAAAATCATCTGTCCTTCTTCGCAGAGATATCCCAACCTATTCCCAATTCTTCCTACTACATACGCAACCTTCTCTAGACCTTGTGCCATTTCTCCTTGGTTTTTTTTTTATATGAGAGCATAGGTTTGCAGCCCAGACTCAGTGTCTGTGCTGGGCAATACATAGCCAGTCAGGAATTTCTACAGATTTCTACATTGCAGAGGAAAACCAATGACAGCTTGCGTCAGTGGCATACATGCTCCTTTTCTGAGGCTCCTGTGAGGTAATTTAAGGTGGCTTTTTTCTTTGGGAAGGCGAGCTTAGATTCTTGTTAGAAACATAACTTAAGAAGAACTTAGGTAACAGAGAAGAACTGATGTGTGTTGGAGGCCTTTGGTGAGCCACGCTTACAAGGTCTCTAAAAGATAGGGAAAACTAAAAAATACTTCTGTTACTTGTGAGTTGAGTGGGCCTTTTGTCCAGGGTAGCCTCTTAGGAAATGAGTGGGAATCTGAAAAGAGCAAAGAGGAAAACAAGGAGGCAGACTTGATTTCTAGGCCTGTCAGAGGTGCATAGCAACAAATGGCTGCAAAGCCATCAGCAAGTTGCAGGGTGTTTTGCACTTGGAGGTAGTAAGGGGACATGGGGAAATTGAATAAAGGGTGGTGGAGCAGACCTTTAAATTATTTTAAGAAAAGTAGTAGTAGTGAGACTTCCCTGAGCTTTGGAATAATCCAGTGCCAGAAAATTAAATTAAGGGACCAAATGGCACTGTTCACCCAATCTTGTTTCATTCAATTAGAGACTGATCTCCAGTTGCCACATTAAGAGTAGATTACAAAAGTTAATGGCATCTCCATGTGTGCGTTATTCACTGCGCTAGTCTGTCTTACACCCCACTGGGATGCTTGCATCCTATTTCATGGCTCCCTCAAGCAACATATAGGACAGCAAAATCCATGAGACGCCAGCGTTTTGCCTTGCTGCAGCTCAAGTGTGCAACTCTTGCAGACACTCAGAAGCAAAGTGCCTCCAGCCACATGTGAGATTGAAATGCAGGTAGCGGCTGCAGGATCACCCAGGTTTTGCAGGTGGTCACCCTGAGATCTGCAGACATGCCACCAGCCTGCCTGGGAGAGTCGGGTACTCCTCTCTGGCTGTCCTCGGGGGAAGCAGACTGTCAGCTGGTTAGGAGGGGCTCTTTGACACTGTTCCTTGGGGCGTTTAACCCAGCAGGATGAGTGCCCTCAGCTGCTACCTCCGTGCAAACAGGCTGCGGTAACAGCAGTGACTCTGGAGGACTTCTCCTGGTGCTAGAAACGTACCCTCACCTGAGGCCACCCCTGGGTAGCCACAGAGGTCCACGTGCATCAGACCTTCTTTAGACCAGGCTTGTTTCATGTGGCATTCCTCCATTCCCCTGGGCAGACTGTCCCATATTTCTTCTAGAAAACCTTTGTTTCCCTTTCCAGTCTGTAGCTGGGACCCATGCACCCATCACTCGCTGCCTTGGCCAGAGCCGTTCTCTGTCTCACGTTCCAGTTCCTGCCTGTGTGGTCAGGAGCAGCTTCCAGCGGACACACAGAAGGTCTGGGCTGCATGGCTGGGGGGCCCGTACCAGTGTTATGTTCCATGCAAACAATAGCATTAATGAGGTACATCCTGCGAAGAGGGTATGAAGTAGACACAAACCAGCTGTGCCTCTCGTTTTATACTGAATTGTCATATAGCCCTTTTGTGTCATCCTTAATGTGTTCCACAGGGCTTCTTCGTAAAGCTTTAAGAAGGAAAGAAAAATCCCTGCTGCATATATACTTTGCAATTCTAATTAAATAATTTTGTCTTCATTTTCTCATCCCTTAAACTTTTCTCTTTCTGTGATTTGTTTTTCTTTTGTAGCAGATAAAAAAATGATGGCCTCGGCATCCACAGCAGGAAACCAGCAGCTTTACTCACAGGGAAGCCCATTTCAGCCAGGACATTCAGGAAAGACTTTCAGGTACTGTAGTCCAGATCCTGAATGCATCAGTTTCTGTCTGAGAGTGGAGGACTGTTCCCCTTCGATCTGGTGGTAACAAAACCAATCTAAGATGCAAGGGCTTTCTTTACGTGAATGAACTTTGCTTTGTGTGCACTTCACTCCTAGAATCATAGAATCATTATCATTGGAAGAGACCTCAAAGACCATCAAGTCCAACTGTATACCCAATGCCACCATCCCTGCTAAACCCACTAAACCATGTCTTGAAGCGCCACATAATGTTTTTTTGAACACCTCCAGGGATGGTGAGTCCACCACCTCCCTGGGGAGCCCATTCCAATGCCTAAAATCACATCCTACGTGATGTCTCAGAACTTAGGCTAGGCTTACAAGCTGAGATGATCTGGATATCTCTGTTAAAAATAGTGACTAGTAAGTAGATACTTGTAAGTATCACTAGTAAGTGGCTCGTAAGTAGATACTTGTTGCTGTGGTGATGTAATTGGAAAAAAAGCTAAGAAGCAGCAACAAATCATGAAGGGAAATGAATCTGAGAGGTGATGGGGCAGGCTCAGATATGTTAAACCAAGGAATGTTAAAACTGAGGAATGTTAAACCAAGCTAGGAAGGTGCAAAGATTTGTTTTGCACTTAGAGCTGTCAGTAATTCTGCAGGCTGCCTTGAAGGGCATCAGTGTGGACACATTATTAAAGGGAACAGAGGGATGCTTCATCCATAGTCCCTGGTGAGGCCTGGGACACGGGCATGAATAGTTTTCTAAAGCAGCTTCCAGATACACATAAGGTGGCAGTCTGGCATTTTCTGAGGCATTTTTGAGTTATTCAAAGTGTGTGTCGTTGCCTACCAGCTGGCAATACAGATTTGGCTAATCTGAAGTTTAAGAGTTTGCCTTCATTTCCAGTCACATTTTGAGAGTGTGGTAACAGTGATTATATTTACCTTAGTGTCTTTCATATCACCATTCTGGGACTGTCATACTGGAGTTTCATTCTCCTATTTTAGACCAACCAAGGTTGTGAAAGTGAAGGAACAACCATTCAGAGGTTGTCAGTTCCAGGAATTAAAAAACATCTGCAAATGATAATTTTATTTAAACCAATGTGTTCTTAAAGTTATTATTGCTAATAATCTCAGTGGGGAGAAATAAAATCCCTGTGCGTGTGTTTTGTCAAATTAAAACCAAGAATAACTTGGGGGGTATATGACAGTAAATTAAAATGTCTTTTAATTGGATATTGTATATTACTGGATGATTGACTTGCCATCTTGGAGTTTGGCATGTGTTTTGTTCGTTTCCTTTGTTAATTCCTGATGTTTAAGTATAGCTTTTTTCCTGCTGCTGTTCTGTTACATCAAGTAATGACACATCTGCCAGCACTTCCACCCTTGATGAACTGTCCTCCTTGAATGCTCTCTGGGCTGGTCCATTTGGTTACTAAGCCCAGGCAGCCTTTAGGCACTATTTTGCAGACTCATGGTTTCAAAGTACGTGCTCCAGATATAGTCCAAGCCCCTTAGGTGATGGGACTTGCCAGTCCAGCTGGGAAGGTGTTGGCATTAGAGCCAGCCCTCCCCAGCAGCTGTTGTGTGCTTCTGAGTTCAGACAGATGTAGATGGACTTTCTGGTCCACATTTCCCTCTTTGGAGACTCTGTGGTAGTAAGAAATAAAAATAAAATTTTAAAAAATAGAAAACAAAATCTACATAGAATTTCCAAACACACACTTTGCTTTTATGCAGCTTAAGAAAGACAGAATAACAACTCCATATTCAAATGTCTGCCACATTTTGCGTACCCCTCTGGGAAGGATTTTGTCAGCCTTCTTGGAGGATTCGGATTCCTGCTTCCTCTCTGCTCGGCCTTGTTTACTTCTTTTCCCAATCTGCTCTCTTCTTTCTCTGTAAGATTGTGAAAATAGATAATAGGGAAGGGACTGAAGAAAAGAGCAGGCTGTTTCAATTGATGCACAAAAGCATTTTTATATGTTGTGTCTTCATTTATATTAATTTATATATGTATATATGACATGTAAAATAATAAATATATATTTTTATATATAAAAATACATAAAATCACATTCACAATGTGTGGTTATATAGAGTCAGTTGTTCAAGACTTCCATGAGAATAAAATGGTAAAGTGGAGCAGCCTTTCATAAAATTATCCTTCTAATTAGGAATTTCTGGGAAATTTCTCTGTAGTGAAATTCAGTAATTAGGAAACAGCTAACAAATAAACAAGTTCCTTTGGAATTTTTTTTTTTTTAAATTCCAAAGCTATTACATTAGTTTAAGTTTCTGTCTTGATTGTTCTTTTGCCTGAGTATATAACTGCATGCTTTTCTTTAGTGTCAGTTGGTGAAAAAAGGAATTAAAAGCTCAAATTTTTAATATATAATACACACTTCTTCATTTCCCAGGCAGGAAACAAATAAAGAAGTACTTAAAAGTGTCATCTTTTTGTGCATCTTCATTTAGGTTGGCATTTAAGCAAATGCTTAAATACTGTTGACTTTAAGCACAAATTTAAAATTAAGTACCTACTTGAATACTCTCTGAAAGCAGGTTTTTTTTAATGTATTAAATATTGAACTAGAATGCAGCTAAGTGTTTATGCACTGTGTGTTAGACTGATTTTATTATTGCAAGCCCTTTCAAAGAGATTATAGAAGTCTTAATTCAAAACAATTTTGCCCTCTGTGTCTATTTTAACTGACATTTTAGAATGCCAATGTTTCATAGTTTTGTGATGGTTTTAAGTCATTTATTATTAAGACAGATTGAACAATTAATTTTAATGTGATTATCAAAATTTCCATACCTGGAATGCTATTTGTGTGTCGAGAATATATCCTACAAATGAGTCACTGTTTCTGTTCCTTTAGTTCCTCTGTGGTACATGTGCCTGGTGTGAACGACATCCAGTCTTCTTCATCAACGGGCCAGAATCTGACACAGATATCTCGCCAGCTAAATCAGAGTCAGGTTGCCTGGACAGGAAATCGCCCACCTTTTCCAGGACAGGTATTGATTAAAGGTGTTTTATTTTCATGCTCATTAAAGATTTGCAGTCTCTGATTTTTTACAAAAGAATTGGTAAACCCCATTTATGATGTGATTAAACGTACTTTTTCCAACCACAAATGATAATGATAGACATTAGTTCCCCTACTTCTGTTCCTTGGCAGGTTATAATAATTTGAGACAGCTGCCCTATGTGTAACTACATTTAGTTTGTAAGAGTGTTGATAATAGTGGCAGTCGCTATGCTGACATAAATCCCAGTGGAAGGTGTCGGTCCTACACTTATTTTCATATGTGCACTGAATGAAGTAAAAGAAGACAGCTGTTATGCTTTAGTATTAAGCCTGTGAATTAAATCTTTCTTGGACCAAGACCTTGCAGCCAGCAATGTTACCCACAGTTAGCTGAGTTATCAGAAAGGCGCAGATACAAATCCGGGCATGAATTCAGAGCAGAGGCCACATAGCCTGTTGCCCCTCCATTAGCACTGCCCAGTGTATGGCTCACACTGTGTTGTGTGCTGGAAGAAATGGCACATCCCTCCATCAGATGCCCTGCGCTTCACAACGTTAGCCCAGAAATCACCTCTTCTTCTGTGCAACAATAAAAAAACCTTGTTTTGAAACGCTGTTAAAGGCAAATAATATGAAGTAAACATATTTGATCTATCATTAATGCTGCTCTTAATCACTCTTGACTTTCCATTGTTTGGTAGGCTAGAATGGCATGTTGGGGTGGGGACTAAATAATTTTTCAGTAACTGATTTGTTTCCACATTAATCACTGTTTCTTCCCAGCCCTCAGTGTGCCATGGTTATTCTGTCACACCTGTTTAATGAAATCCAGTTGTAACATTAACTTTTTTTTTTTTAAATGATGTGGAGGATGCTAAAAATGGCTAAAAAAAATTTACTCATCCCTCTTACTGTCCAAATTCTGTCCAA